TGTGTGTGTGTGTGTGTGAATACATGCCTGATAGATCAGCCACCAAACCATTAGTCAGTCATCGTGATTCTGAAACAGGCACACACACATCACTGATCGAAGAATGAACAACGTTGTCGATTTTTGTAACGTGGATAAACCGTTTTGCTTACTGGACTCCAATATCAGAATATGCAACCGTAAACCTTGAACTTTCAAGCAATGGATCTGGTTGGTGTTTTTTGGGTACTCATTTGGATGAAACAGTAAACGGGAAGGTTCACGTAGACAGGGTGTAGCAAGAGTGGATTTGTGAAGAAATGAAGCAGATCTACTTAAAATGCTGTTAACTATAATCAACCATACTACTCAGTGTCTTTAATCATCACTCAGACTAGTCTCGAGGTGCCCAATCTGAAAGCACAACGCGACCTATATATGCCAGTTCCCTGGTTGGGGTTTTCATATCCTCATAAAAGTAAAGCGTATCATGCGTCCTGATCGTTTTCTTGAAACAGCCAAACAAATTCGCAGTTACTTGTGAGCAGTGTTGTGGGATTACTGATGCTGGTTGAACTTATTAGGACGGAGCTCAAACAACCCGTCAGATCACGCACGCATCCGAGTCAGGCCACACGCACACTTGCAACGCTCCAGACAAGCTGAGCCCTGTTGGATCAATTGGATTGACCAATCGATATGCCAAGGCCACAATTTGACTGGGACGCCCCGTACAGTCTTCTCCCGTACGTGATTGTGCTAGATTGTTGCGTATCGAAATCTAACTGAACGGATACACACTGACAGTGGTCTCAAGCTGTGTTCTCTCTTCGCGTTATCGTGAGGGGTTAAGCAAGAGTCACTCGTGTCATTCTTACGGCTAGTCGAAACACAACAGAAATGACTATCCTTCGGACTTCACCTTTACGCACGATCCTCAGTTCATCGATTCAGCCATACACTCAGAAGCACTAAACTCGAGTTTCGCTCTCATTAGAGCTCATCAGTAGTGCATATCCATCATCCCGTCCGGGATTTGAACTGCGGACCCATCGCATGGAAGGCGTGTGTTACCACTGTGCCAACCAGCTCATACCACCATGGCTGAACTGAATTTTCAATTCATGTTTTGTTCAGGCGTCGGCTTCAGTGATAGTCAGACAGTTCACTGTTGGCCGAACAGCAACGAAAGGCGACACACTTAACTATCTGTTAACTCCAATCGAAAGCACTACCGATGATTTGCTCTAATAAGTGCCAAACTCGAGTCTAGTGCTTTCGATTGTGTATGGTTGATTGGAAGGGCTGAGGAATGTGCGTGAAGCTGAAGTATGAAGGATGGTCGGTTCCAATCAACGAGAATCAAATAAATGCATTTATTCTCCCTCTCTCTTACTTTACTCTGCACCAATCACGTGGTTCGCAAGGTACAAAACTCCTGGTGAATGCTTGCCAGACAGTTTAACAATTCAGTATTGGACAATTTCAGTTTCATCGGTTAAACGAGATATTTGGCCAGCAGAATACATAAATAAAGACCTCCACTGTAACTGTTTTTATCACACACACACACACACACACACACACACACACACATCCCACATAGATGATCGTTCCCGGACTGGTGGAAATCTCAGTTCAACCGAAAACAATCCCCAGAACAGAGGAAATGTCCTGCAAAACTGATTGTGCTTTGCTACCCCGATACCCACATTCTCAGTGAAATGGAAATGAGACAGAAGCAGTTTGTTGCGTTTAAATTGTTACCGATTGTTACAGATAACAGAAGAAACCGAAATCTAACCAGTACGCTGTATAGCAAAGCTAACTAAACAAGACACACATTGATCTTGACAGGGCATGGGCTCGGAGTTACCGAGTATCATCGGGCTTCAACTGCATCGGTCCGGTTGGTGCTGTGGAAGGACACATGGCGAATCCGGTTCTCCACAAGTGGCTAACGGGCACGAGATCACCGGTCTCTGCATCGTATTTGATGTACAATCCTTGATCCGGCAGATAAACATCGCTGGGACGAAACGGTCCACTATTCCAACCGTCGTGTCTATGCACGGCACTCTCTCCGGTACGGTCATCTGGATGGGTGACGTGATGCGCGATTGTGTTCTGAAAGTACTCCATTTTCAATGGTATGTTGGAGAATGTGGTACCACTTTTATGGGGAAAAACAAAGGAAAGGACAAGGTGCAGAACAAGGTCTCGAATTTTGAAGACCAATAACAAATTAAAATAAATGTCACGCAAACTCATCAACCAATTTTATTCGTCTCAAAGAATTTTGCATCACCGAACAACCGAGACCGTTCGCGGGAATCGATAGGGGGAAAAGTACGAACAGAACAAAGGTGTGAACATTGAAATCGAATAAAATCGATCAAAGTTTACTGACTTGGAAATTATCTTGGTTGTACATAGCCACAGTTAATCTGAACATCAGAACAAACAAATCACATCTACTCGTTCAACATTCAAATTTATGAATTTTTCCCACCCAGGTCTGTAAGAACATGCTCGTTTACATGGCAGGCAAAGTTCAAGTGATACTAAGATGTGATGATTAATATTGCCCGGGTAATGGGTCGTGAAGGCGAACCCCAAAGTTACGAGCGTTAACTGTTCACTTATGATAGTCGGCATCCTAATCCCTAGCAGTTCCAATAGCGAACAACGTAAGGCCCCGACAGTATGGATATGATATTAAGCCAAACGGCAGCGAAGCTATCTGCTACCAACATTCTGTGGTTGTGGTTGTGGTGGAGCACGTCATTGTCAGACACATAAATCGCTTGACCATCACCTCTTACTAATGGAGTAACTAATCAGAACCAGCGATTTGAGTGATGGAGTACCAACATCTCGTGACCAGCTGAGGCAACACTTTTAGCTCTGAGGTTTGCGAGAACTCAATTATGTCCGCTTTGTTACATAGGTCAGCTAAGCACAATGTAGGAAAATACCTACGAAGGGAAAGGGAACTTAAACCTGCCATTGCTGGATATGAACAGCTTTCGCGTCACTAGATTCTCCCATCCTCGATCGATCCGGAATAAACGCTGAAGGAACGTGTTCAAGATGATGAAAAGAACACTGAGATTAATCATCGCAAACGAATTCGGGAACGGTTCAATTTCTATGGGCGGCGGATTTTTATGATGGCCACAACATAACTGCATAGCTGTTTTGTTCTTTGTGAAACCCATCGGGTGTGGTGTACTCTATTCTGTTTCCCTGCTCGGGCTCGAACTGTAAGTGCTCAGGCTCAGGGCTTAAATCAGCGCCTTTGGCATAGACGACGAAAATCGGTAAATATCACACTAACAAAATGTGGCGCTTTCATGTTCAACTAATAACAAACATCTAGGTTTAGAAATAGAGTTTATCCGGTTCACACTAATCGACAGGCTACAAACTCGAGCTGCTCAGTGACGAGGAGCAAGTCCGAATCTGCCCACCCTTCAAAAGAACACACTGCTCCATTGAAAGGATGACCGAAAAAGAAGAGAATTGTCTATTTCACGTAGTGCACTGCACCACGCCTATATTCTTTTCTTTTCATTTCGCTTCGTTTTGTTGAATATAAAAGGATACAATTTCCAGGAGGGGAGAAGCGACCAGTCAAAGGGCTGTCATTCAACACATGCAATGGGGATAGTTAGGCGGTAGTGGTGGGATTCGAACACACATCCCCGGGGTGATAATTTGGTAATGTTATCACCAGGCTACCACCAGCGCCCGTCATTCGACAGGTGGCGAGTAGGATACCAGAGGGAACAAAAACTGACAAGAGGATGAAATCACATGTGAAAGCCCCCAAAAAACAAAGTGCAATAATGTACGGCACTTTCGAAAGGTG